CCCCAAAACCCCAAAACCCCAAAACCCCAAAACCCCAAAACCCCTGAATATTTCTCCAGTTGAATATAATACAATAAAAGTTATGGAGTCAATCGAGTTTGAGAATATCCTTTCTAAAGAATACGATGGATGCACCTCCAACTTCTTAAAGATAGGCCAGGCAGGAATAATGTTTGACTGAGGAATCCCTGATGAAGTTAACCAAGAAGTGTTAGACACTTATGATAAATACATGAGCCAAGTTAATATCATTTGTCTCACTCATGCAACTTTTAGGCATTGTGGAGCACTTCCATATTTAAGGAAGAAGTATGATTTCAGTAAGATAAAGGTATATGCCACCTTCCCTGTGAACAAACTATCCCCAACGTGAATGTATGAGTACTACATATGCCAGATGAACCTAGCCAGCTTTGAGATATTTACAATTGAGGATATAGATCTAGTATTTGAGGAAGTGAATCCTGTTAATTTCAAGCAGACTCATCATTTCAACATAAAAGATTCATGCTTTTCACTAATTGCTCTTAATGCAGGCTATTCATTAGGAGGAGCTATCTGGGAGATCATTTTCAACTGTAAGAAGCTCATCTACGCTATTGATGTAAATGATAAAAATGAGTGTATCACTGAGCCCTTCCTGATCAGTGAGCTCCAAGATGCATACTGCTTGATTACGAATACGTATATTGCTCCATCGATTGACGGAAAACAGAAGTGATCTCATTTACAGTCTTACATGAGTAAGGAGAGGCTGAAATACAATATTCAGAAGACTATTCTAGATCACCTAGATTTTGAAGAGAAGGCAAATGCGATACCAGAAGGACCACAGCCGCCAAGGGATTATAATCAAGCAGATATGGATCAAGTGCCGATCAGTGAAGTTCTCATGAATTATGGGTTAGTTGGAAAAGACACAGATTATGATTCAAGTGAATATCCGCATGCTGGCCAATATGATGCTGAAATTTTGATCTGTTGTGACAATTTCAGTCGAGTATTAGAAGTCCTGTTCTTCCTAGAAGATTATGCAAGTCAGAATAGAGACTTACAGAAAATACCAATTCTTTATCTTGATCATATGAGCAATGAGTTATTAGAAATTGCTAGGAGTCATATAGAATGGATGAATAACCACTTGAATACTACATTCGTATACATCGACATCAGTCCTATCAACTTCAATCACATCAAGGTGCTATCAAAGGAATCAGAGCTCCAAAATTACCCGAATCCAAGAATAGTTGTGACCACTACTTCAACATTTTTACTTGGACATTCCAAGAATTTGCTTCCAAAGGTGTTAACCAACAGAAACTCAAAACTAATTTTTATAAATAAGCAGCTTTCTCATAATCTTGGGCCCAATCTCATCAAGGGGGAGTTGATGAGTTACACACATAAGAAAGTATCTGTAGAGAAGATAAGACAAGTAACCGAGTCTGTGACTCAAGATGCAGACATGATGAGCGATAAGCCTCAAGAAGAGGAGAAGATTAAAGACACCCCTTCCGAACAACTTCCAAGTATAGAGGAAGATGACGAAGATATTGACCTCTCTGGGTATAACTCAAAGCTATTTGCTCATACTGATTATGACATGTTCCCTATTAGGAACCTTGATAAAGATGATACTTACCATATCGATGCTTATGGAGTCTTTAAAGCAGAAGAATCAGAAGATCCAAAGAATATGCTGAATAACATTATTTATCACTTAGGAGCTGGCCATGACCCAGGGGCCCTTGAGGATAAAGATATGGGATTTGGAGCTACAACTTTGAATAATTCTGTATCATATCCTGAAATTATGGACCATTTTAAAACCTATAAATATCTCCATCATTATACGGATGAGCACGTGAGTATTGACTGTAAGACAGCCTATATTCCCTTTGAAGGAAGAATTGATAAGAAATCATTTCAGATTATGCTGTCTGAGACTCGGCCTAAGAATCTAATCGTAGTCAATGCCTCCCAGCTGAAAGTAGAAAGAATTAAGAAATTTGTGATGAAGAATAATTTAAACATCAATGTTGAATATGTGATGAATCAGAATGGAAGTCATGCTCAAGATAATCCAGGAGGTATTCATACTTTTAAGATAAACTCGATCCCTAAAGAGTCCATTCCAATTTCTCTACATCCAGTTTTATTATCCTCAATGAAGTCTGGGAAGAACATATCGATCTTCGGTAGTAGGTACAATGTGCAAAGAGTGTATGGAAAATTGTCTAGTTCTTCTGATGTAGCTGACCCAACTCCTAAGCCAAGTTTAAGTAAGTCTGCTAATTCTAATCCTCTAGAGTACAAGGCCAACTATCAGTTATCAGATATACCTCCTAAGGACCCAGAGTTGCAATCCAAGGAGAAGTATTTGTTCGAGAGTTCAACACTTTTCTTCACAGATTTGACACATAGGCTAAGTGATTTACAGAAGTTCCTGTTTGATAAGGGCTATAATCTGCAGATGATCAATAAGAAATTGATGTATGAGAAGAAAGTTGAAATTTACCAGGATTCTAAGGGAGACTTCAAGATTAACGGAATGTTGTGCCAGCAATTCTTGCAGATAAGGAAGTTAATTTATGAGCATTATAATGCTGTTTAGATATTCAGTTTAAGAAATGTAGTGTGGGGTTTTGGGGTTTTGGGGTTTTGGGGTTTTGGGG